CATGAATTGACAGGATTGTGGACTTGGTGTAAAAGCCCATGCAGTCTGGTGGTTTAACAAGATTTTGGCTCCTTGAGAACTTGACCTTGGTAGTTGGTGTTGCTTCTTGTAATTAACAGATGGAATGGGGTCTCCCCAACAGCTAGACTATTATTACTTTTACCTGTCAAAGAAAAATCACTCCAAATGAATCCAAAGCATTTGAAACTCTGGCAGAAGGATACAAGATGGATTTACAAAGCAAGTGCTGAGCCCAGAGATGTGCCCTGGAAAGTGATCTCTTACTGCTGCAAGTCAAGCTGGGTCTTGCAGGATGAGACACATGGAGCAAACAGGAAGGAGGTGAGTTCATGGAGAGGAAATGGTATGTGCAAAGGTGTACATGGGTGTGGGGAAGCATACAGAAGATCACCAAGAAAGGCTGGGCCTGAGGTGGCTATCATAGTTTCTTACCATCCTTCCTATGCGCTTGCCCAGAAGCTTCACTCTATTCCTCCCCATGTTTCCTCCTCAGGGACAAGGACACAAGATTTTAGGGATGGAAACCAAATAAAGAGTTATAAATTAGACCATGCAAGAAAGAGGTCAACCAGCACTGACAGGAGGAGGTGAACTAGATGCCACTTTCTTTCCAAGGTTCAAAGTCAGAAGGTGGCTGGAATACTGGCACGCTACTTTAATCCCAGCATTCAAGAGGCAGAGGAGGCAGGTGGATCTCTGTGGGCTCTAGGCTAGTCAGGCCAGTGAGACTCTGTCTCAAAACAAATGAACAACCCACCCTAAGGAACAGAAGTCTCAGAAGACTGAGTAGTGCATTTGAAAGGAGGGAAGTGAGAGCATCAGCAAAAATGAGACAAAGGCACTTTAAGCATGAGTGTGAGGATGGACTAGCATCTCCTTGGGGACATTAGACTCCAAGATGAGAAAGACACCGGAAAAAACAGGAACCTGGCCCCTTACTGTTTATTGTTGTTGATTTGTTTGTGTTTTTTTTTTTCCCCTTGATTCTAGGTTTCAAGGAGATCACACAGGAATCCTAGTTTACCTAGGCCAGGTCTCCAGAGGAGTGAAAAGTGACAAGCCTGTGGGACGAAGCCTCTGTAAGCCATAGATGAAAGCTTTCATTGTGCTGTCCTGAAGAAAAGAGGCTCCCGGAGCAGCTTCCACCATCATGCAGCACCACTGTGTTAGCCATGGTGAGCACCGAACAGTACCAGAGGGGAGCCTATGGCCCTGATCCAAGGCTGTCTGGAACCAGCTGCTGGCAGCTGTAGGTTGTCTGCCACCTCTGCTTTACAAAGCCTCAGGGCGGCTCCAGTAACCACATTTCAACATTTCAACTCCATTAGATCAATATTGCCCTGCTTGATGCCAGGCCCTATGCCAGACACCAAGGATACAAAGAAAAGAGACACATGTCCTCTACCCTTAGGTATCTCGCGATCTAGAAAAGGAGATAGCCGTCAAAAAAGACAGTCACAGACAGAAAGTCCTACGGCACAGAGAACACAAGGAACTATGTCAGTTTACGGTAGAACAAATAACTTCATGCAGGAAATCCAAGGTTTTTTCAGAGGATGATCCATTTCAGTCCCAGTTTAAAGTCTGAAGAGCCAGGGGTAACAGCACATAGCTGTAAACCCAGCCCTGGGAAGCCTATGGCAGGAGAATCGTAAGTTTAAAAACAGGAGGTTGAGAAAGTTTTTAAATGAGGAAGGGGGGCAGGAAACATGTGCATGAAAAACAAGGGTACAATATAGGTAAGTCAGGGAGGTGGGAGAAGCCAGACAGAGAGATGGTGACCACAGCACTCAGCTTCTTTTCTTGATCAAGCTGTGATGCTGGTCAGCACATGGAATATGCAGAATATTTCCTTAGAAGAAAGATCCCAAAGAATGTGGGGGGGGCTACCCCAAGTCCAACCCAAACAAAATTAGTGAGGCTTTTAGAAAGAGCATGTTTTTAAAAGGGGATATACTAAAATAAAACAACCCCAGCAATATATTCTAAGGTGCCACAACTCAAAAGAAGTGTAAGTCACCCTGGGTTTTAGTAGCACTTCACATTTTCCTCTTAGCACCCTCCTGGGAGCACAGTGTCTCTGCCAGTTTGCTAGCTCCTTGTAGGCATGAAACAGGTCCTGTTCATCCTTTCTGCAAAAATGACTTCTCTGACCCTGTAAACCTAGTCAAAAGCTGGGAGGCTCATAGTCCCTGGTGAGGAAGCTACTGCTGCTTTGTGAAATAAACAAAGGTCCTGTCACATCACTTCCTAAGTAACTATGTAACACTCGAGTATCACTGCTGCTGTCCCCTTTGACTAGAGAAACTTCTTTTTGCAGTGGTCAGCCCTGACTACAGAAACTCAGAACAAACCAAAGTACTGAAAATAAACGACTACTGAACGCTCATTCATAAATGGGAAAATATATGACCCCCTCAAGGGTTAAGGAACATCATAGGATGGAAAGAAGGTAAGAGGCAGAAGAAAGGTGTGAATGCTGACTTCCAGGCATGCCATGGCTGTTGCACTCCTGAAATCACAGAAGCTGTGGCTACTTGCACAAGACCAGGCCTGTCCACACCCAGGCATGGAAACCACACACACCACCACCTCACCCCTCACCCCACCTTACAGACTTATATACAGTTTGTGGATGGAAAAAGGAGAAATATTTTCTTTAGTAATATAGCTACTAGTAAGGTATTCATGCTCCTGTAGATAAATTCTCACCCATGCTCCTGTATGCTACTCTTACAAAACTCACTGGGTCGCACATACACACACCACACCCCTGAAACAGAGTGGGAAGTAGTAGAGGAAGTATGAATAGGAGGGTGATGATCCAGGGTAATGGGTAGGGAGGGGTGGATATGAGTGAAAAATATTATGTACATGCATAAAAATGTCATAATAAAACCACTCTAATGGCCAGGTGTGGTGGTGCATGCCTTTAATCCCAGCACTCAAGAGGCAGAGGCAGAGGCAGGCAGATCTCTGTGAGTTCAAGAACAGCCTGGTCTACACAGTGAGTTCCAGGACAGCCAGGGTAATACAGAGAAATATTGTCTCAAAAACAAAAACAGAGCAAAACAAAAAATACTGTTATGTATAATTAGTATATGCTAACAAAAACATTAAGAAATTGCTTTCCTATCAATTTTAAATAGGCAAGGCATCAATAGGTCATATTACATAATAGGGATCTGTTCATTAAACATTTCAAAGCTTCATGATATCTGAACTGAGAGACTGTTGGGCTATCCAGAGCCATAGTTTCTTAACCTTTACAGAGAGTCTGACTATGCTATGAGGGCTGGGGATGCACCTTAGCAGTAGAACACTCGTCTACCATAAATAAGGCCATAGCTTTGGTCCATACCAACAGTTCAGATGAAAGGTACGGACTCAGCTGGGCATGGTGTCTCGGGTCTGTAATTCCAACTCTCAGAAAAACTTGCATACAAAAATCTTTTTACATATAATTTCAGGATTTATCAAGCTTAGACAGATGAAGGTAATTTACCCAAAATCAAAGCTTAAATGTGGCAGAACTGAACCTAAACATGTTTCCTGTGGAGAGCCAGCCTGACATAGGTCTCAAGGGTGAATGTTCTTCTTACGAAATTCTTTGGTGGCAAGTTCAGACCTTGTGAGGTCCAAGTAATGGTTTGCACTCTGCCTCAGAGAAGCAATTGCAGATATATAGTTGTATGGGAGAATTAAAATAAACCAAAGAAGCAAAAGTTGTGAAGATTCCCTAACTAGACCAATAAAATCTTCTCAATTGCACTGCCTACAGGAAGCCACAGACTGAAGACTCAATGCCTCCTCACCTGCAGAGAAATTTAACCACCCACAGAAGCTATGAAGCATCAGGCCCAGAGAAACAGGTGAAATGACTGATGTTTGGTAATACCTCCTAGTCATCACTTGCAACAACTCAAGATTCGCATATATATTTACATCTGCAAATACTCTAAAACCCAGCTATTAGCTAAAAATAGCAATCCATCTATTAGTTTGCCACACACCATTCATTCAATATTATAATTTGTTTACTTTAATTAACTAATTAAAAGTATCTTACTAAAACAATTAATTATTTGATTATTTTAATTAATTAAAATAATTATGTATAATTGTTTCTATTTTAACTTTTATTTTATTTTTTTTTTTTTTTTTGGTTTTTCGAGACAGGGTTTCTCTGTATTGTTTTGGAGGCTATTGGTCCAGCCCAGCCTCGAACTCAGAGAGATCCGCCTGCCTCTGCCTCCCGAGTGCTGGGATTAAAGGCGTGCGCCACCACCGCCCGGCTCTATTTTAACTTTTAATTATGCACATATACATGCACACATGACTGCAAGTACCGACAGAGACCTCAGGTATTGGTATGCCCCTGGCACTAGAGTCATAAGCAGTTATGAGACACATGACATAGGTTTTGGGAACCAAACTTGGGCCCACTGCAAGAGTAGTACATACCCCCTCTCTACTTTTGGAGACAGGGTTTCTCTGTGTAGCCCTGGCTATCCTGGGACTCACTCTGTAGACCAGCCTGGCCCTGAACTCACAGAGATCCACCTGCCTCTGCCTCCTGAGTGCTGGAACTAAAGACAAACGCCACCACTGCCCAACTGCAGTACATGCTCTTCTTTTTCTTTTTTCCAGTAAATGCTCTTAACTGTTGAGAAATCTCTCCAGCCACTCAACTAATGCCAAACTATAATTTCCACTCTGAAGTCTACACTGAACTAAGTACTTAGAAGATTTTTATTCCCCAAAATATCATAAGTAATAAAAACTGGGCAATTGGCATTTTACTATGATAATCTGACCAAGGAGAAGATCATGTGCAGGCAGAACCATCTTCAGTCCAAAGTAAAACACCCGAGCCGGCAGAGGACAGCTCTCTATCTTTCCAGCTCTACGGCCCACGCGTGCCTCACAGCCCATGAGCTTCACGGCTTTGCTCTCAGAGGACCTGCCTTGCCTCTTACCTCTGGCACTTTGACCAAGTGTTTGTATCTGCCGATGCCATGAGTGGGCTTTGTCTTGTGGTGCCGCCTGGGCCTCAGCAGAATACCACCTAAGAGAAACAAGACAAATCCAGAGACAGCAGAGGTAGGTCTTGGTTATTTCCAGTTTTCCCTTTCTTTCTCTCTTTTTAGCTCCTGAAATATTGTCACCACCACCTCCATTCCCCCCCACTATTTAGTTTTCTTTGGGAAATTCTCTCCTGAAAAAAAGTCAATGGTGGTCAAGGGACAAAATATATTTTAATGAGAGTCTCGTTTCTTCTTGTTCCTCAACAAGTCTGGCGTTTTTGTTTCTTGGTTTGGTTGGTTTTGTTATTGTTGGTTTTTATTTTCATGAGAGCAATTGCTCAGCAGGTAAGGATGCTATTGCCAAGCCTGATGACTTAGTTCCAACGCTAGGACTCACGTGGTAGAAAGAAAGAAAGATTCATAAGAGCTGTCTTCTGTCCCCAGTATGTATGACACCACAGACTGTAAGTCCTCCATACATGCACACACAGCACAGACCACAATCCTTCATATATGCACATACCACACACCACAAGTCTTCCATACATGCACACATACCTCCGACCATAAATTAATAAAAGCAATTTTTAAGACAGGGTCTCACTTTGTAGGCCAGGCTGGAACTCATTCTGTAGCCTAGGCTAGAACTCACTATACGGCACAAGCTGTCCTGAAACTCACAGCAGTCTTCTTAGCTCAGCCTTGAAAATGCTGAGATCACAGGTATGAGCCGCCATGCCCAGGCCTTTTGAGTTTTTCTTATGGAGAGAAAGAAGCAGGCATAAAAATAGAAAAATACCTTTAATCCCAGCACTGGGGAGGCAGAGGCAGGCGGATCTCTGTGAGTTCGAGGCCAGCCTGGTCTACAGTGCGAGTTCCAGGACAGCCTCTAAAACAACACAGAGAAACCTTGTCTCAAAAAAAAAAAAAAAAGAAAAGAAAAAGCAAAGGAATTTCTATAAACTCTTAAAAATCGTGCAGTACTGTACTAAGCTCAGCTGCTCATCACTTGCCTAATGCTTCCACTCAAGTCTGAGCCCAGAAACCACAAATAAACAAAAAATGTCATTTATTTGTGTTTATAGCACAATAGCCAATATAATCCAAAAAAATCTAGGTACAGGTATATATGTCATTATTAAGAAAAAGCAGGGGGCTTTCTACACATGCATACTGTAGTGGGTTCAGGAGGACTTAGTGTCCATATCTTGCTTTCAAACACACACACACACACACACACACACACACACACACACACACACACACACACACCCCACACCACACACGGTTTTTTGTTTGTTTCTCTACAGTCTCTTTGAGTCGTCATTTTTATTTTTACCCAGAAATAAAAATAAAATGGCAGTGTAATGGTTAGTATTAACTGCCAACTTGAAAGGATTAGAACCACCAAAAAGACAAGCTTCTGAGCAGTCTGTGAAGGGCTGTCCAGAGTAGGTGAATGAGGCAGTAATGTGGGTGGGTGGTAGCACTCCATGGCCTGGGGTGGGGGGAGGGATGCTGGCGGAGCACCAGCATCCCACTTCTCTGCTTCCTGACTGTGTGACCAGACGTCTCTTGTTCCTGCCACCATGCGTCCCCACCATGCCAGACTGTGACCTTCCAACTGTGAAACAAAGCAAACCCTTCCTTACTTCAGTTGCTTCTTGTCGGGTATCTGCCTAAAGCAATGAAAAAATTAACTAGTACAGGGAGCTCACAAGATTTGGCGAAATGACCAAGTCATTCTATGTACATGGTAGAATTACCACTTACACTTTTGTCTATCTGACTAGGTAGTTCATGCTGGTAACCTAGATCATAATACTTGAATTTCTGTAATAACATACTAAACATAACAAAATAATAACGTAGACTTCACAGACAAATAGAAGTTTATTAAAGGAAAAGGTGGAAGATGGGTGTTCTAGTTGAAGGAACAGCACACAGACCCTAGCGTGGGGCGCATGCAAGATGCAGAGAGCAGAAAGGCTGTTAGTGTGGCTGACACGGAGTGAGTGCGCCCCACCCAAGATGTTACAGTGAACTGGAGGGCTGAGACCAGCAAAGCTGGGCCTTGTTAAGGGTCTGGATTTCATCATGAACAGCAATAAAGAAAGGAATTATATGTATGCTGTGCTTTTTAAAAGATTTTATTCATTTTATGTGCATGAGTGTTTTATAGGAATGTATATATGTGCACCACATGAATGCAGTGCCTGCAGAGGCTAGAAGAGGGCATCAAATTCCCCTGGAACTGGAGCTACAAATGGTTGTGAGCTAACATATAGGTGCGGAAAAACTGAATTCAGATCCTCTGCAAGAGCAGCAAATACTCTTAATTTCTGATTCATTGCTCTGGCCTCCTCAGTTATGGGGGGTTTTTGTTTGTTTGTTTTTTGCTGTTTGTTGTTGCTGTTGTTTTATTTTGTTGTTGTTGGTTTTTGAGACAGGGTTTCTCTGTAGCTTTGGAGGCTGTCCTGGAACTCGCTCTGTAGACCAAGCTGATCTCGAACTCACAGAGATCCGCCTGCCTCTGCCTCCCAAGGGCTGCGATTAAAGGCGTGTGCCAACAACGCCCGGCCCAGCTGACATTTCTTAACTAAGCATTTTAAGGACCTTGACTTTATAATACAGGTCCAATTACTTTATCGCATCTCCTATTCTGCAAATTCTACTACCCACTCTACAGAAGTCTGGTAGTTGCCATGTCTTTGGTGCATTGTGGGGTTGGTCCCCCTCATCTTGGTGACATCCTTCTGTAGCCCTAAACATATGAGATCCAGAAATAGCTCCAGAGTTAGAGCTCTCTCAGGCCTGCCTGAATTACATAATAAAACATTATATGTAAATTAAAAACCCAGATGTCAATCACCATGCTTACATATAGAGACACTCATTTACCCATCAGTGACTTCAAAAAGTAGACAGGAAACAGACCTTTGAGATGATGACACAGCCCAAGTTGCAAGGGCTGCAAATGCTTGCCTTAGTCTCTCATTTGCGGGAATTCCTTGGCAAGGAGATATTCTTAAATTCAGTTTGGGATAATTCCTATAATTTGAGCTAGTGGTAATTAAAAAGCTGGCTCAAACTACTGTTAAATTAACCATTTCCCCATTAAATGAGAGGTTTGGGTCAAACTGTCCATGGTTAAGCTGTTTAATTAGACAGTTGTTTTTATTGTAAAGTGTGTAAGTTTGAAAACCTCTCATTCCCAGTAAATTCAACTGGCTTCTTCCCCTCTACTCTGTGTCACTAAGCTGGATTTCCTGCTGTCTCACTAAATGCCTGGCCTCCTGGGAGGAAAGACCACCCCTCGCTGACACAAAACCCCATGTTTCAGATTAAAAAATCATTTAGTTGCCACAGCTGTAAAACATAAACCCACACTAACTTCTCCCCTTTCCTCTGTCTGTGACAACACCACTGTCCTTCAGAATTCTTGTTTACTAACAGGAACCAAATCTGTCAATCTAGGATAAGAGTAAACAACTTTGTTTTAATTATTTCTCTTTAGCAATTGGAACCAAGCTGGGCGTTGGTGGCACACGCCTTTAATCCCAGCACTTGGGAGGCAGAGGCAGGCGGATCTCTGTGAGTTCGAGACCAGCCTGGTCTACAAGAGCTAGTTCCAGGACAGTCTCCAAAGCCACAGAGAACCCCTGTCTCGAAAAACCAAAAAAGAAAGGAAGAAAGAAAGAAAGCAATTGGAACCAGCATTTTCAGCAGAGCCATGAAGGCAGAAAGGTGAAACTGGAATAGCACCAGCCAAGGATCTAATTACAGAATAATTCTCTGTATGTAATAGACGCAAGTCCCCCAAGGACAAAGAAAATGCTAGCATCTGGCATACAATATATCTTTGATGTATATTTAAACAAAACCAAAAGTGGTTCTCCACATATTCTACCATAGCGGTCTGCAAGCATTTGTTCGTGGTGGCTGCCCGCGCTGTTTAGTCAAACATCGTCTTGTGCACCCACAGTGCTCCTTAGACCTGAACATACCATAGTCCTTTCTACCGTTTGCTCATGCTGCGGTCAGAGAACTCTGAGGTCCCTTCATTTACTTTCTTTTTATATATTTGCTTTGAACTACCATGTCCAAATAAATAAGAAAAAGATAGTGACTATAAGCAAGCGTTCCTTGGACAGAGGCAGCTGAGATGGTACCCAAAGTCTATGTATTAAGTGGATAACTAAGGGTAGAAATGAGGCACTGTTCCTTATCCTCCTAAACATCATTATAATTTTGAAATTGTACATAGCCTGGGTTTGCTGGATTTCTGTATGTAGCAAAGGATGACCTTGAAGGATTGATCCCACTGCCTCTATTATAGGCACACACCAACATGACTGGCTCATAAGATGCTGAGGACTGAATCCAAGGCTTTGTGTATGCTAAGCAAGCACTATGCCAAATGAAATACATCTCCAGTTCCAAAATGGAAGATAGCATCATCACCATCTTGTCTGCCAGGTGTGATGACACACACCTATAACAGCATAAAAGAGGCTGAAGCAGAAGGAGCTCTTTAAGTTAAAGGACAGCCTGAACTATATAATAAGTTAAAACACCAGCCTTTGTCTCAAACAAATCTTAGGGTAGAGGAAATCCCAATAAGCATGGAACAAAATTTAGAAATCGAAAATTAATAAATTTACCTTATATGGAAATGTAAAACTTTTGGCCATCAAAACAAAAAAAAAAAAAAACAAAGTCATGGCACAGTTGACTGGAAAACATATAAAGCATATGAAATAGCAAGGTGCTAATTTGTCCACTAAAAGCATTTACAGGGGCTGGAAAGAGGACTCCACAGTTAAGAACGCTGGCTGCTCTCCAGAGGACTCAGATCCATTTCTTAGCACCCACATGGCAGCTCACACCCATCTGTAACTCCAGTTCCAGGGGATCCAATGGCCCTCTTGGGAGTCCTTTCTCATTTTTTCCTTATCATATCAATGCTTACTAGGCTTTAAAAAGAAACATTTTTTTTAAAGTGCTGCAACCTTTTTGAGTCTTTCTTTCTTTTTATTCTTCTGAAACAGGGTCTTGCTATGTGGCCCTGGATGACCTAGAGCTCTCTATTTATTTCTGGCTGACTTCAAAACTGGAACAACTCTTCTGCCTCTGTCTCTAAAGTGCTACAATAACAGGCATGTGAGATCACATCAGTGTACCTGGCTGATGTATGACCTTTTAAACTTTCTATATTTTTTAATAATTTACCTCCTGACAGTTTTTCCTTGATTTATTTAGTTTCCAACTTCTTAAAAGTAAGATGGACTACAGTGACCCAATAGTGAGTTACAGTACTCAACTCAGGTCTTCTGCAGGAGCAGTACATATTCTTATCCATCTCTTTGGCCCCAACACAATAATCATATTTTCAGGTAGGGACGATATCTCTGCCAATAAAGTGTTTGTCTTGCAAGCATGAGGACCTGAGTTCAGGTACCTAGTGTCCACATAAAAAATTACGCACTCTCTGGGCATAGATGGTGCACACCTTTAATCCTAGCACTCAGGAGGCAGAGGCAGGTGGATCTCTGTGGGTTTTGAGGCCAGTCTGGTCTAAAGAGTGAGTTCCAGAAACCATTGAGAGGCCAAAAGCTAAGAATAAAATAAAAATCAAAAGTAAATATAAGAATCAAGCACTGCAGCAGTACACTCTTGTAATCCCTGTGGTGGGGAGGCAGAGGGGAGATAGGAGGGGCCCTGGGGCTCACAAACTAGTCTAGCTGAAATTAGCGAGCTCCAGGTCAAATGACAGGCACTATCTCAAAACTGTGCACAAATTACGGAAAGCAGTTAATGCCAACCTCTGGCATACGCATGAGCACGAGCGCGCGCGCGCGCACACACACACACACACACACACACACACACACACACACACACACACACACACACACACAAAGAAGCTGGTATCTGGGAACACCTAACTCTGGATCCAGTACATAAGCAGTACCTATCCACTCCTGCAACCATTCTGATTACTACCATATTTAAAGCCTCTTACATACTGTATTTCACACTATGAGTTCACATTTGTTCTTTTCCTTATTCCTTTATCTCATTAGATACATGACAAACAGCTGTTAGAGCACACAGGTCCTTGTGCTCACAGATAGCATTAGGGAAACCAGTAATCTTAAACATGCAGAAAAAGATATATAACCTGCTTTCTGCCCACAAGACTGGGAATGGAGGTGGTTAATAGCCTAGGTGGTCTGGTCACACCAAGCTCCCACCAGCAGGACCAGAGGTGGCTAATAGCCCAGATAACCTCTGTGCTATAGGGATGACCAAGACTACATTAGATCCTCCTTCTAGACCCTTAAGAAAACACATGTAGCCTGTCTTTAGAACCCATCTTCATGGAAGAAATGACATGTACTTTGAGAAGAGTTTCAAAGTAATCATACTTCACATGCACATGGGATTGTGTTACACCAGGAAACTTCTTTCCAAGTTGAACCGCACTTAAATATGTCTAAAATAAACTACCATGTGCCAGACTCTAGAAGTTTGAACCAACACTGGCTACTGAGTCGTGTTAAACCAGAGTTCCTTCTTGCCTCATGTGGCCCATTACTCTCACAAATAGCTTTGAAATGTGTTGTGACAGATAATGCAAACATGTCAAGTTAATTCAGCTGACATAGACATTCATTTTGGATGAAAGACTGAAAAAGCCCTAGCCTGGTTGAGTGTGTACGTGAAAAACAGGTTTGAGACAGTAGCAGTGCTATAATAACCAGAGTAGCATCTATTAAAAAAAATGTGCATGTTTTATCTCATTGAATTTTCAAACACCTCATTACAATTATAGTAGAATTATCCTCACTTTTAAATTGAGGAAACCAAGCTCCAGAGAGATAGTCAAAGGTCATAAAATGTGCCAGACATGGGCATGCCTTTAATCCTAGTACCTGTAAGACTGAGAGAGGAAAATCACTAACTTAAACCTAGATGTCACAGTAAGGCTCTGTCTCAAAATAATAAACAAGCAAGTTAGCAGGTAGTGGTAACGCATACCTTTAATCCTAACACTTAGGAGACAGAGGCAAATGAATCTCTGAGTTTAAGGTCAACCTGGTCTACAGAGTGAGTTACAGGACAGCCAGGGTTACACAGAGAAACCCTGTCTCAAAACAAAAAAAAAAAATGAAAACAATCAATTAATCACTGAAAAAGGAAATGGTAGAAATGGAATCCAATCTCACTACAAGGCTTTTGCTGTAACCACTTCATATTCTTGCCCATGATTCTAGCCTATGAAGGAAAGATCTGGCCCCTGCCACCCTCCTAAAAGAGACATTTGACATTCTAAACAAAATCATCGTTGAGTGCTAGAGGGTCATTTCCAGAAGCAGATCATACCAAGAAATAATCACTTACCTGCAGAACAAATGGGATTCTCTCCCAAAATTCTGAATCTAAAAAGAGAGAGAAAGGTATGCTGAATATAATCAGATATTCACATTTATTTGCAAAATTACTATAGCCTTTATGCTGTATATTAGGCACCTGTTATATACCAGTTAAAGTGGTCCTGAGGATGTAAACTAAGTACTGTATCTCTTATGAGGTCTACTTTGGAACGGTAAATATAAACAAATGAGACAGCCCTGATCCAGAACAGAAACATGTACAAGAGTCAAAAGTGTGGTCTCTTCAGCCAGGAAGGTGGAAACAGGGAAATGGAACTATTTAAATCGAATGTTTTAATGTCAGGAGCTAGAGGTTAGAGAGATGGCTCAGAGGTTAAGAGCACTGGCTGCTCTTGTAAAGGACCCACGTTCCATTCCCAGCACCCACACAGCAGCTCCCAACTGTCTATAACTTCAGTTCCAGGAAATCCAAAGCCCTCTTCTGGCCTTCCTGGGAAACAGGCATGCATGTGGTACACATATATGCATGTAGGCAAACTACTAATACACATAGAATATTTTTTTAAAAATTCTTTCTCTGGGGGCTGGAAAGAAGGCTCAGTGGTTAAGAGCATTGACTAATCTTCCACAAGACGTGGGTTCAATCCCCAGCACCTACATGGGAGTTAACAATTGTCTGACACCCTCTACATGCTGGCAAAACACCTGTAATATAAAATAAATAAAAAAAATAAATCTCTAAAAAATTTCTTTCTCTTCTAATCCCAGATGTTTCGGGCCCTTTGGGTTACCATGCAGACAGGGCTAAGTCCAAGAACCACACCACACACATCCAATCTTGAAAATGGCACAGAAATGCATCAAGAAACCCCAGTCACAGCTGGGGGGGGGAGGGGGAATAGTGGCACATTGCCTTTAATCCTAGCACTCAAGAGGCAGAGGCAGGTGAATTTCTGAGTTCAAGGCCAGCCTGGTCTACAAAGTGAGTTCCAGAACAGGCTCCAAAACTACAGAGAAACCCTCTCTCTCAAAAAAAAAAAAAAAAAAAAAAAAAAGACCCCGTGAAGCCTAAGGTCAAAAATGCCCAAGGTCCTCGGTTGTCTTACTTTCATTGTTCACCCCAAGCATGGGAAGCAGATTCGAAACTACATGGCCAAGGGTTTCAGATTCTGCCAACCAAAGTCAGCAGAGGCCACAGCTCTAACTTAGGGTCAGGCTTCAGCTCCAGCTCAGGCTCCCAAAGGTGTGCAAGTCCCTTTAAAGGCCCCATAGAAAAGGCTTCTATCTGCCACGGTAAAGACAATATGGACTGATATGACATACCTACACAGTATTTACAGATGGTCAGCAGCCTGTGTTGTTTTTACAAATAGACTTGAGACAAGGGCTGCTTAAAAAAAAAAAACTTAAAAAAATAAAAGTGACTACGGGTTGGGGGTACAGCTTAATGGTAAAGGGATTGCCTAGCATACTCAAAGTCCTGGGTTTGACCCCCAATAATGAAAAGAAACAAAAACAAAAACAAGAAAACCAAGAGAAGAGGGGACAGGAGAAAAAAACAAAAACAAAAACAAGAAAAGCAGCAGAAGAGGGGACAGGAGAAGGAAGGGAACTGATCTCAATTACTTAGCATGACAGGAAAAGAATTAAGGCCCAACTATGGAAAACAGCAAGCAACAGGATATGAGCAGAACTTAAGAGGGAGATAAGAGGACAGGGAGGAAAACTCAGGCTGGAGAGGTGTACAGGAGCCAGGTCACGAAGACTCTCTAAGCTGCACTGTTTGTTTTCACCCTGTGCTGGCAAGGGAACGCTCCTGGAAGAGTATAAAACAGCCTGAGTTTAAAGAACTCAGCAACAGTAAGAGATGAGATGGGAAAGCGTGAGACTGAAGCAGACGAGCCAGTGAGGTGAACACTGGGCCTTGCAGCATTAGAGAAGACTCTGAGAAGACCGAGAGAAGGGACAGTAATGACAGCCAGGCTGCACCGGGAATCAGGAGAACAGGACAAGCAGATGGTCTGGTCCAGCGGACTAGGTAACTGGAGAATTCTGAAAATTTGAAACTAAACTGTGGTACAGGCTTGAGGAAAGCAAATCTGTGATGTAATGCTGACTGAACCATTTCTAAACTGTGACATTAAGCAAGATATTTGATGTCACTGTAACTCAGTTATTTTATCTTTAAGAAATAGGTATTCTCATGGAACTGAAATGTTCTCTCAAACTGAGTTTTCTTTTTTGTAAAATGATGGCATTTGTATTTGTTCTATAATATTTTTGTGGAGGCCAGAGATCAGATGTAAAATGCCTTGGTATCATTGCAGATGTTTATCAAGTAGATAAATAATGATGAAAAAATATGTTGAAATGGAAAGAGAGTAAAAAGAGAAAGGCATCAAAACATGATTTAAAAACAAAAAACAAAAAAGAAACGTTGGATTTGAAACCTAATTTTAATTTATATAAGCTATACCATCTTAAAGCAATAGATTTCACTCTCTTTAGATTTCTGTTATTAAGTGTTGTAGGCCATAAGGATTGTAGAAGTTATTTTGAGTAAGATGGTAAAATCATGTTCATTATCAACTTGAGAGGATTTAGAACTACCTAGGAGACACACCTCTGGGTATGTCTAGGAGGTTGTTCTCAAAGAAGTTTAGAGCCAGCCAGGTGTTGGTGGCGCACGTCTTTAATCCCAACACTCGGGAGGCAGAGGCAGGCGGATCTCTGTGAGTTCGAGGCCAGCCTGGTCTACAAGAGCTAGTTCAAGGACAGGCTCCAAAACAATACAGAGAAACCCTGTCTCGAAAAACAAAAAAACAAAAAACAAAAAAAAAAAGAAGAAGTTTAGACCCAGAGAAAGACAGGCCTTGAATGTGGGTGGGTGGCACCATTCCATGGGCTGGGGTCCCAGGTTGAATAAAAAGAAAGAGTGAGTCACAAGCTTTCACCTCTCCATTCTCTGACTGTGGGTGCAATACTTCTGCTCTGAGGCCACACCCTCTCCACCATAATGAACCATACACTTAAACTAGAAGCCAAACCTTATTTGAAAATGATGCTAAGACCTCAGTTAATATAGATAGCTTCCAATTTGAGAATTTTGAGCAGAGGAATGATGTAACTGAAAGAATCACTTCAATTTCAGTATGAAGGGAAAAAAAGTAAACATGGAGAGATGAGGAGCTGATTCCCCAGAGTTTAGCAAAACTGGAAGCATGATGCTGAAAACTGGAGGTAAGAAATAGTTTGACTGTACAAGCAACAGTGAAGCCAACGGAGAAGTATAACTCCAAGGTTTTGAGCAATGAGATGAATGGAACCAGCTTTTTCTGAAAATGGTTAAGGAGCAGCATGGTAGGGAATTAAAACAGAAAATGCTTTGTAGACACATAGGGGACATGAAAGCAACATCCACGTCAGCTAGCTGCATTTATCATTAATATCCTTACCTTAGGAGAGAAAAGGCTTGCTTAGAAACGGTATCTTTCCACAGGCCCAGCACCTACAAAACAACAGTCATGTGAGGACCTTAACCTTTCAGAACACCAAACACCTCTATTCATGAGGAAAATACAGTATACAAATCACAATGTACCAAAGAGTTCTTACCTAGCAAATACCTATCGTGCAAGTAAACCACCGTCCTTTTTTCTTACTCTGCCCACTACAGAAAATGCTTAAAAAACCAGCACCCTTCTCCCACAATTTTTCATTGCAGTTCCCTTTTCCAACTTGATACATTTTATACACCTTGTTTATCTGCCATCCATCCACCGGGTAGCAATAGGGGCTTTCTTAAATTTTCTTTAATTCTCAAACACTGCAAGATAATTTTTGGCAGTTAAAGCCGAGAGAGGTTTTATTTTTTAAAAGTTACAGCTAAAAAGAGACTACAAAGATTGTATCACTCCAAAGCCTATGCCTCTCTTACCGCACACTATCTCTTTCAATAGCAGCAGTAATAATCATACTACCACATGTGAGAAAACAATACTAATGTGAGGAGGCAACTGATATTTTAATCTCACTCCGCCTTGCTAGCATTCATCTGCAAGATCAATGTACCGTTTTACTCTGGAAGTTCTTTTTATAAACTAGATAACAAATTCTAAATGTCTGAATTTCTGCTCATCATGGGTAATAATTTCAATTCTTTTGACATGTATATGTAAAAAGATTATGCAAAAACATCAAAAATCGCCGGGCGTTGGTGGCGCATGCCTTTAATCCCAGCACTCAGGAGGCAGAGGCAGGCGGATCTCTGTGAGTTCGAGGCCAGCTTGGTCTACAAAGTGAGTTCCGGGACAGCCTCCAAAGCCACAGAGAAACCCTGTCTCGAAAAACCAAAAAAAAAAAAAAAAAAATCAAAAATCTGAGAAACTGTCCCAGTCAAGACTAGCCTAAGGAAATAGGATGACTAAATACAATATAATATCAGGATGGATCTTGGGACAGAAAAAGAAATTAGACAGAAACAAAAGAAACCCAAATAAAGTATGGGTTTTTGTTAATAATAGGATTTCAATACTAGTTTATTACTCATGGAAATTATACTATTAACAAAATTTTACATATTTAAGGTAGAAGAGTACATGTGGAGGTCAGAGGACAACTTGAGAACATCAGTTCTCTATTTCCACCACAGGAGTCCCAGGAATCAAACTCAGGTTGGCAGCTTTGACAGCAAGTTCCTTTACCTGCTGAGCTATCTCACTGGCCCTAAAATGTTAATAGAGAATAGTGGGGTTTATGTGAACTTTTCATGTTGTTAACCTTTTTGCGGGGTAAATCTAAAGCTATTCTAAAACAGTTATTTGTTTGTTTGTTTATTTGCTTGTTGCTATTGTTATGGTGCTAGAAAACAAATCCAGGCCCTTGTGCCCTTTCCAGGCAACAAAGGTTCTTTCTAAAAAGCCTCCTAAGTGCCAAATACTGTGTTGCATATTAAAAGGAATATAAAAACAAAATGTAATGGCCGGGCGGTGGTGGCGCACGCCTTTAATCCCAGCACTCGGGAGGCAGAGGCAGGCGGATCTCTGTGAGTTCAAGGCTGGGCTGGACCGATAGCCTCCAAAACAATACAGAGAAACCCTGTCTCGAAAAACCAAAAAAAAAAAAAATGTAATGAACACAGTAATTTTTTGTTTTGTTTTTTTTTTTTGTTTGTTTGTTTTACAAGACAGGGTTTCTCTGTATTGTTTTGGAAGCTGTTGGACCAGCCTGGCCTTGAACTCACAGAGATCCGTCTGCCTCTGCCTCCCGAGTGCTGGGATTAAAGGCGTGCGCCACCATCGCCCAGCGAACACAGTAAAATTTAAAGGCATTATATTAAGTGAAACAAGCAGGCCAGTCACAAAAGACCGAATACTGTATGGTAGATTCCCTTTGTATGAAATACTCAGAGTGGGGAAGTCTATAGGGAAAGGAAGCAGATTAACTGCTACCAGGGCAAGAGTGGGGTGGGGATGACAGTTAAGGAATAAAGGTTTGTTCTAGAGTTGATGGAAAGATATGCTTACATTACACAGCTAATAGAAACCAAAGGTATTATATGATGAAGTAAACATACATGTCACTAAAAGCAAGCATGCCTGGCAGGATTTCCTGGGGAAGAGGACTGAAGTCCTGAGCTTCTGCAGTTTATAGACTTTCCTAAAGATCTGTTCAAAAGCAAGAACCATCTCCTGAGACAGTGCTTAAAGGCAATGACAGACAAAAGGTTTATATACTTCAGTTTACATACAGTACTTCAAACTACTTCACTGAGACACTTTATATCATCCAGTGACATCTATGCTGAGCCATCCTAGGGCCCAGCAACCTAAGAATCTGTTCCTCTCAGGTACAATATACACAATCAAGTTTGGTTTAGGGAAAAATTTAGAAAGAAATGAATAAATGGGATTCTTTGCAGTTATATATCTATTTGCATCCAGATCTACTTTATTGAATTCCTATCCTGTGTCTAAATCACAACACAAGGTTAAGTATTACCAATCCTATTATATAGTGCAGAAAACTGATACTAAATTTACCTCCAAGTCACATAGTAACTCTCCAAAGCTAGCATAGGATTTGGGGTTTTCTGTCTCTGAAGTCCATAATTTCTCCACTATGCTACACCTCCTCTCACAAATGAAAAGACGGTACTTAATAATAGAGGGAGAGCTGAAGGAATGGCACCTTGGGTAAAAGTGCTTGTCAGGCAAACCTGACGACCTGAGTCTGATTTCTGGAACTCCTAGTGAAAGGAGCAATCCAACTCCTGAAAGCTGTCCTCTGACCTCCACATGCCCACTGTGGCATGTGCACACCTGTATTATGTTGTGAGTATGTGACACACATACATACTCATAATGAATAAAGCTTTTAAAATGGGGAGGTAATCACATTTAGGAGAAGTCTCTCAAGGAATGTGAAGCCACAAAAGTTATGAAGTATGTAAATAAAAAGAACAAAGGGAAAAGCACACAGAGGATCTTTAAAGGTGCAATTATATATATAGCTAGGCAGTGATGGCACATGCCTTTAATCCCAGCACTCAGGAGGCAGAGACAGACAGATCTCTGTGAGTTCAAGGCAAACCTGGTCTACAGAGTGAGTGCCAGGACAGGCTCCAAAACTACACAGAGAAACCCTGTCTCAAAAAAAATAAATAAAGTACAATTACATCTCATTATATTACAAAAAACTATGTTGGGTGCTGGAGAGACGGCTCAGTGACTAAAAGCATTTGTCACTCTTGTAGAGGACTCAGGTTTGATTCCAAGCACCCACATACTCCAGTTCTAGGAGCTCTCATGCCTTCTTCTGACCTTCATAGGTATATAGGCACACATGTGGTCAACATACATACTTGCAGGCAAAATATTCATGCATAAAATTAGAAATGAATAAATCCAAGTATGGTATTTTGAATATAATTAGCCCCCATAATCTCATGGGAAGTGGCATTATTAGGAGGTGTTGGCTTTATTGGAGTGGGTGTGGCCTTGTTGGAGGAAATGTGTCACTGTGGGGGCGGGCTTTGAGGTTTCCTATGCTCAGGATAACACCCAGTGTCTCAGTCAACTTCCTGTTGCATTCTCAGCTTCAGCACCATGTCTGCCTGCATGCCGCCATGCTCCCCATGATGATAATGGACTGAAACTCTGAAACTGTATGCGAGCCACCCTCAATTAAACGTTTTCTTTATAAGAGTTACACCTTCCACCCTACCCCACCTGACCCCCCTCCCCCTGCAAAAAAAAAAAAGACTTACTGTGGTCATGGTGTCTCTTCACAGCAATAAAACCCCTAACTAAGACACTAAGTTTAAAAGTTTTTAAAACCATGTGAAGTGAGTACATAAAAGCTTACCCTAATACTGGCCAGAGTAGGGAACTAAGAGTTTTGGAGAGCTCAAGTTGGCTCCCCTATCATTGGCCACATACCTCAAAGTTACAGCAGATAATGCAAAGTTCCCTGCTGGCCCAAGATCCATTCACATGACAGAACAGAATAGAAACCAAAGCGAACAGAACACATTTTTAAATGGGTCACTTCAAATAGAGGAGGCCCCAGATGGAAAGAAAGATCTAGATGAGACTGCTTTCTCTTTATTTTAATTGTTCAGGATCCTGAATCTCTACAATAGCTAAGGATTTAATTATCTAAAAGTCAGACTTAAATAGTTGACAACTTTCTGGAAGACATTCAAATTGTGAATGCCTCAGCTCTGGGAAATTTGCTTTCTTTTTCCTGCAATGCCTGGCATTATTCATCAGGACAAAAGTAATTTATTTTGAGACAGAATCCACAAATACCCCCCACCCCCGCTACTTCCCACCCAGCACAATCAGCAGATGAACAGCTCTGGCTCTGCAAACAGAAGAGGAGGGCAGTGACACCAGTAAATGAATGAATGAGGACACAGCTGCTACAGTGGGTTACAAAAATACTTGTCCCATGAGCTCAGAGCCAGCAACCAAGAAAGAAGTGCATAGTTACCAAAGAAGCAGTCACAGGGAAAAATTCATTACAGTGTGTGAATACCTTCAGATGACAGTCTGGGCCGGGTTGTGAACACAGTGGTTCAGGGCCCTCAGTGAGCAAATGAGAGCTATTTTATGTTCATTTGTTTTAGTTTTTTTGAGACAGGGTCTCTCTACATAACCCGGGATATCCTAGAACTCACTATGTAAACCAGGATGGCCTCAAACTCACAGAGATTTGCCTGCTTCCACCTCTAAGTTTTAAGGCACGAGCTATCATGCCCAGCTGACAGCTGCTATAAAAATTTAAGAATGTTTGTATATCACTACTAAAGGGCCACTAAGTGCCTCTTCTGTGCCAAGCACTCCACATGGTCTAATCTTTACTCCAGCTCTCTGATACAGACCCTATTAAGACACCTGCTGAGGCTGGTGAGGTGACTCATCAGGTAAAGATAATTGCTGCTGAGTCTGATGGCCTGACAGTTTGAGTCCCTAGGACCTACATGGCAGGACAGAACTAATTCCT